CCATGTGCTAGAGTTCTCGTCTGTTTAATGGGAAGGGGATCAGACCAGGCTCAGATAGGGTGCAGAATGATTAGTTGACACAGCTTTTGTTTTTTAAAACCTCATGGCAAACGTAGACAAGCTCCAGGGAATGCGGATAAAGGCATGCTGGGAAGGCAGTTAATGCACACACAGGCCACCTGGCCCGTGCTCTTACAATACTCTGAACATCCCTCTCGAGTTCAAGTGACCCTAAATGACTTTGCTAAATTGAGATACCAACCATGATGCTGTGGTTGTCGCTCTGTCCCCTCGACATATCTGCTTCAGAAACCAAAAGGTTTCCTTTCACCTCATTTTTAGGGGATTTGCCTTGTTCTCAGACCCGGGCTGTACTGAATAAAGAGGCTTCAGATTTATGTTCCCCTGGAATTAGAGATGCGACAGTCATGCAGGAGAGCAATGAAGACATCAGAGAGAGTATGTGCCGGTGTGTCAGAGGCAGCCGTTCTAAGTCATCCACGACCTAATATGGAAAAATAGGTCTATTTTAAGAAGGAAAAAAAAAGTGCACATGATAGGTTTTAGATGAGAAATAATTTGGGAGTGATATTGAAAATGATATCACTCCTGCTGCACTTCAGTCCTGCCAAGAGCATTCCATAATTAATAACTACTTCAGATAAAGTGACTTTCTTTTGAATGTGCAGTATTAAACATTTAAATCCCTATCTGTAAATATAAGACTGTGGCAGATATCTCTGTAAGCCTTGCAGCTACAAGCTAATGTATATTTATATTCTAGATAGGTATTTTTAGCAAGAACTACAAGTTCTTTCTGTATTCGATTGCATCAGAGCTCTGTTTTACATTAAATCTCTGGACTGCAAAAATATCCCCTTATTTTTTCTTCACTTAGAGTTTTGCAAAGATTTCTGCTCTAGTTTTTGCTCTTTCTGTTTCATGCCCACCTGGATTAATGCACCTTCCAAGAGGTCTGCATGAGGATTTTTTGCCATTTCTCTCCCAAAGAAGACAAAATATATAGGGTTAATAGAAATCAAGCAGCAATGCAGCTTCTGGTATTTCCCGCTTTGTAGTTTGAGCCACTTAGCAATCAGGGAATGCCAGGATAACTATCCTGACTCATGGCTGTACACGATGTGACCAGTGTCCTGCTGTGGAAAGCAACTGTAAATGATCCCTCTTGGAAACCCAGGTCCTCTAAGTAGTAATCACACTATTTGTGGCTTTGCTCTCCCACAGTACCAGTGATGCTTTTGTGGGAATCTTGCCCAAGTCAAAGCAGCAGGACTGAACCCAGGTCTTGATCCAGCTCAAACCAAGGATAGTTGTGCACTATGTTTCCAGAGGAGGAACTATCCTTTGAAACAAGTCAAAGCAGCAGGACTGAACCCAGGTCCTGATCCAGCTCAAACCAAGAATAGTTGTGCACTATTGTTTCCAGAGAAGGAACTATCTTTTGAAATGTCCACTTCACCTTCAAGAGTCGTGGAGCCCACGAGGAAAGGCCATGCAAGGCAGATACATTGCCCTGATGATTTGCTGGAGGTGGGACTCGACAGGGTATACCAGTTTGAATATTCTCACCAGTGAGGGCCTGCAAGCACCTCATGAAACCTTGGTCTCTGTTGTGCTTTACTGTTTAATTTCTAGAGGGATGAATGCGTTTACAGATTTATAACTGAAAGCAGGTGATGCAGAGCAGGGCTGCACATCTGTAGGTCTGTCCCACATTTGCAGAAGGGCTGTAAGGTGATGGAAAAGGTAACTTCTTGACCAGATAAAGCATAAGGCACTGAGGGGTGCCCTCAAGTCTCGAGATGAAGTCTCCGGACGTGCACAGAATGACTGCTGGGAAGAACAAGAGGCACTGAGGGGTGCCCTCAAGTCTCGAGAAGAAGTCTCCGGACGTGCATAGAATGACTGCTGGGAAGAACAAGCCCCCAGAGCAGCAGGTAGAATCCTTCAACACAGCAACAGCAGTGCTGGATGCCGCCTGCTGTGAAGCCTCATCTCGCAGGGCCAAGAGGCTGCAAGTCTTTTTATGGCCCTTTGGAGACACCTTTTTCTCTGTTCTGTTTTATTCAGCCTATATTTAAACTTCTCCCTCCATATGTCCACTGACCCAGTGACGCAAAAATCTGCCAACTCCTTTGAATCCCCTGGCAGTGTCCTGCATTTGCTGGGACAGTGGTGCTTGCTGGGTTTAACTCCTAGGGACCGAATAGAAAGAAGAAATACAAGCAATAACTAAAGCAGCAGTAAATTAAATTTTGCAAGGGCTCCCAGTGACAACCGTTCAGCCTGTGGCATGTGGCTAACACAGCGCGAACAGATGAATATTAATGCAAAAGGACATTTTGTACCCCTGACACTGTGTGAAGGGCTTGTCACCTCTCCTAATCTAGGAACGTATTACAAGTGCTTTGAAGCTGAACTTTGCTTTTGACTCTGTTTCGGCTATGGTAGATGCTCGCTGCTCTAGCGATGGAGCCATGTTAACAGGGAAGTCCCAGGTGACAGGAGACCTGCGGTGCAGTGTGATACAGGATGCTCATAGCTGGCACCAGTATCACGAGGGCAGTGTTCCCCACCCACAGCATCTTTGCAGCAAAGAGTGGACCCCGAATGGTTGCTCCCGGCTGCCTGCTTGCCTTGCAGTGCTGAGCTCAGTTGCTTTCTCTTTGCCTGCTGCAAGAGAAGCTGCACTAAGGAAACCCCCAGTTCTCCTTGTGCGTGTCCCAGGTGAGCCTCCTGTAACCACTAGATGGTACTTTACTCTTCTGCCACCCTTTTGCTCCTCCTCTTCCAGTGGGGATAACCTTCAGCCTAGCTCTTGCAAGGAGTATTTTTTCACTCCCTATCTTGGCCCCTGCTGTAGCTTTTCCCCTCTCTGGCACAGGGCAGTTCCATAGCTGCATAACCAGGGAGAGACATGCCCTCCCTGCAGCCTGTGCTGCCCCACGTTCCCTCCCTGGGCAAATGCTGAGCACACAAGAAAGATGCTATAGGCTGAAAACTGGAGGATCCAATTTTATTTGCTAGATTCTTACCCAGAAGGGAACCCTCACCCTCCCATTCCCTCTGTATCCAGATCCTGCCCCATCTGTACGTGCAACAGACGGAGGAAATTTCAGCCCATGTTAGCACAGCACAGGACCCTGTAGCCAGTGTGGAAAGACCACTGGGGACCGTGTCTTACTCCAGAGCTTGAACCTACGATGGAAAAGGCCATCTGACCTAAGGATGGCAGTGATGGCGGTTTGCTTCTGGCCTGACACATCAGACTGTTCTCAGAACAGGTAAATGGAGAACAGAGGAGTAGGAAGCAGAAACTGGTGCTCAGAGTCTGCAAGGGTGGGTATAGTATCAGTATTTGAGTAGCTCCCAGTCATTATCCTCTCAATGGCATTTTTTCCCCCTGTAGGCCTCAACATTGAGAGGGTGTCTCAGAGAAGCTGTGACTATTTTAGTGAAGCACGGAGCATTTCACCTCCAGAAAAAAAGGGGCTTGTCAACCCCCTGAGCCCCAGGCTCGCATGAGGCCCTCTGCCAAGGAATGCAATGCCTTGTCAAAGTTTTCTTGCAAATGGTACTGAGACAGACCTTGAGAAACAATTACCTCTGTGCAATGAAGAAAAAGAATCCCCCTGTTTATTCGTTTATTTTCCTGGCTGATGTCTTACAGAAACATAGTAAAAACAGACTTTGCCACAGAGTAGGCATGAGATGGTGTGAATGCAGAAGGATGGTGCATGGGATATACCCGTGCTCCACTCTGCCCTTGCTCTCGCAGGTTGTCCTCTGGACAAGCCCTGGAAATAGGAACAGAGCAAAAGGCAAGTTCCCTGGCTCTCCCTCACCAGAGAGGTGTGCGAGCTGGACGTGCTTGGCTTACCTGTATCTGCTTTCACTCCATCTGGTTTTACAGCAGATAGATAGGGCATAAAAATCAATCTTACAGCTGCTCCAAAGGAGAACACAGCAAATCCCCAGCTGGGACCCAATAGCTCTGTTAACCGGCATGAATGGAGCCTGTTGGCTTTTCCCAGAGCTCAGGGTCTGGAATAATCATTAGATTTTCTTTCTTGCAGTCCCTGCTGTGAAAGGGCAGAGGAGGGCAGAGTAACAGAAGACGTTCCTTGAAATGGTCTATAAAACATCTGGGAGGGGAAATACAGGAGCTCTGAATGCAACCTGAGCTCAGGCAAAGGGCTGCTGAGCCTTTTGACTAGCCAACCTCCCAAATTTACTTTTGCAGGTCTAACCTGCCCTGGCCTGTTAGTCCAGGGCGTGTTTTGAACTTTCCAGAAATGCTTTCCATCTCAACACATGAAGGCTGAGCCCTTTGGAACTCATTCCATAGCTTGTTCTAGACAGAACTAAGTGCCAGCTCTCTCCAATTGCAATCCACACTCTGTGGAGCAAGCAGTGAGAGGGGACCGGCATCCATCTGCTGCTCTGACTCAGGAGGTGGTGCCAAAAAGGGAAAGAAAATAAACCAAGCTCCTAATGAAGGGTTGCAGGATTTTTCTGGGGATGTGCACAGGCATATAATATACAAAGGTTGTGCAGGAGCTTGAAGAGACCTGTGAAAAAAACACCGTCCATGTCCAGTGTGTCTACAGCCCCTGCTCTTGCTGAGGGTGACCCTAGAGCACCAGCCTTGATGACGCTGCCCAGGCCCTCCTGCTGCGCAGAGCTGCAGAGCTTCATCCACTCCTGCTCCCCAAAGAGGAAAGCTGTAGCAGGAGATGTTGGTCCTGGGGACCAGAAGCAGCTGAAGGTGAGACACATCTGCTTAGCAGTTGGAAACTTAAAATTTGAGGGGTTTAGGTCCAGTTGCCCAAACTCTTGGCTTGCATCCACTTGAATTCACAGCATTGAAGTTGAGTGAAGCCACACATCAGCGAAGAGGGTTATTCCCCAGGCATCTTAGGCAGCTTGGCAGAGAGAGGAATGGAGATGTTTTGGGTGGAGTATGGGCACTTACGATGCTACAGAGTGCACTGGAGGAGCGTGCCAACAACCATGGCCATCAGACCCAGTGCTGCAGAGTTGCTTCCCACTCCATTGCTGCTCTTGGTGTCATCGGTGCAGAGGTCAGTGTAGCAGCACGACTTGGGTTTGGACGCCCCTATCCCACCAGAGGGGAGACATTCCTCCTCACAGCTTCTGGTCACGGTGATGTTCCCAAAAAAGGGGTAACCTGAAACAGGCAGATTGGAGAAGGGGGGAAGAGAGAGAAAGAAATGGTGAAGGAAGGTGCAGACAGCTGGTGTTGAGAAATGCTGGCTATATGCAAAGGAAAGGAATTAAATGTAAAGTGTTTATAGGTAAATAAAGGCAAACAAGGTGTAGGAGCACCTTTAACCCATGAGTGCCTGTAATACAGACTGCTCTTTGCAGGAACAGACCCACCAATTCTCCTTGCTGACTCTCTCTCTCCCTCCTGCTCTTTCTGAATTTATTCTACTGTGCATAACGGACACAACCCCCTGTATAATTTGTTCAGGTGAGTTGCTCCTGCAAAGGCTCTGCACAGAAGGTTGCAGTGCCAAGAAGCACTGGTGTAACACAGACATGATCACTGATGAGACAGTTAATGTTAGGTGAAGGCATCTAAGAACAAGGAGAGAGTGCCTGGGTTTCTGCAGTGTGCTTGCTGATATCTATAGGTTCAGCGCCTGTAAGGATGTAGGGGTAGGAAAGGCAAAACAGACAGAGTAAGCAGAGTGAGTCCAGTATACTTCACCATGAGGGTCTGAATCTGGTGGATATTTCTCCTTACCACTCTAAAGTTGGATAACTCCACCTGGACTCTACAGGATAATCCAAGGTGGAACTGGAAGGGGGAGAGGGAAGCATAACCAGCAGGTCAAGGGAGGTGATCTGCTCCTCTGTTTTGCTCTGGTGAGACCCCACCTGGAGTCCTGCGTCCAGCTCTGGAGTCCTCAGCACAAGAAGGACATGGAACTGCTGGAGCAGGTCCAGAGGAGGCCACAAAAATGATCAGAGAGATGGAGCACGTCTGCTGCAAGGAAAGTCTGGGAGAGTTGGGGCTGTTCAGCCTGCAGAAGAGAAGGCTCTAGGGAGACCTTATTGCAGTTATTCAGTACTTAAAGTGGGCCTACAGAAAACATGGGGAGTGATTCTTTATCAGGAAGGGTAGTGATAGCATCAGGGGTAGTGGTTTTAAACTACAGAAGGGTAGGTTTAGATTAGAAATTAGAAAGAAGTTCTTCACTGTGAGGGTGGTGAGGTACTGGAAGAGGTTGCCTAGAGAAGTTGTGAATGTCCCCTCCCTGGAAGTGTTCAAGGCCAGGTTGGATGGGGCTTTGAGCACCCTGGTCTAGTGGAAGGTGTCCCTGCCCATGGCAGGGAGATTGGAACTGGATGATCTATAAGGTCCCTCCCAACACAATCCATTCTATGATTCTATTATCTCACCCTGCAAGAACTCACAGCAAGCAATGAGACTTACCTGAGTCTACGGAGTGCAGCGTTGTTGTGCACACCATGGATTTTGGGGGGCACAAGGTGGGTGTTTTGCACTTAGAGATGTCTGTTGGTTCCTTGCACGTGTAACATCTTAAGGACTGGGCTGCAGAGGGGAAAAGAACCAGGTTTGAGTTGGTCACAACAGTGAGGCAGACAGCAAATCTGCAGCTTCTTTGCTCTGTGGTGGGGACTATGTGATGGTCAGAGCTTCATCCTGCCTTGACAAGGATGCAATGTTCTCAGAAACTAAGCACGTCTGGAGGCAATGGCAAAGCTTGGGTATTTCAGGGGGAAAAGACTAAACCCAGCAGCAAAGGACAAAGGTGGTACTGTGGGAGCTGAGGGTGATCACTACTTTGGGGGCTCAGCAGCCCAAAAAGGGCAAGGATCTAGAGGGATCTATTGCTTGAGTAGCTTTGATGATAGGATCTTTGCATCCTCTGTAACAAATGCTGTAACACAGAGCAAAATAGCTCCTTCTGTTGCGAGCAGCATTCACCAGAACTGAAAGACTGGCAGTTCCCCCATTCCTGCACCCACAGTGACAGTTCCTTCATGCTTGTTTAGAGGGGTTTCTGCAGAACTTAATAACTGAAAGCAGTATTTAAATTTCAGAGCTCTATCAGAGATCCTACAGGCTGAATGTGGCCTAAAAACCACTTTCATCAGGGGCTACTGCTGCTTTTTAAAAGAGATGATGCTATAAAGCTCTTACTGGCTGTCTGCTGACACAGGGACACCTTTACATATGCAAGCATTGATCACAGCAGTTGCTCAAAAGTCTCGGCATGAGACCTGTCTGTCCACAGCTGGCAGATACCGAATGTGCATAATTTTTGGAGTGGTGCTGGTGTGCCTTGATGACAGAAACCAGCCTGGTTTGATATTTTCTATTCCACGTGCCTTCTACCAACACAGCAGCTGAAGAACCACCCAAATGTGTCCACTGCCATCTGTTGGTAAAATTGCGGAGAGACGATGTTTTCTTATTACAGTTCTGCAGCATATGCTGTTAAGGGAAACCTCTGGGACTTTGTGATAAGGATAAATATTTTTGAAGGCAGTTGTTTGAACATCTGACTGTAGAATGAATTTTCAGGGCATCTACTTCTCTTAGCACCTCCTTTGGAAAATTCAGCTGTGCAATAGAGGATACACGATGCAGAAACTTTCTTTGTCCTCTTTGCAGAGGTAGGAAGGACTTTTTGATGCTTTTTGATGCAGTGGTGGTGTTCTTGTGGCCCATATCATTTGTAAACCGGTGTGGTGGAGCCGTCCCTGTTTGCCTGAGCTGAGGACCTCAGTAGATCCCTACCAAATGACCCATGAGAGGTTGTTTTGTATTTTAAGAAGTAGCGTCCACTGAGAGAGAAAATACAACATTGTCAAACTGACAAGCATATGGATGTTTGTGAACGTGTAGGACTGGCTAATATATGGATGGAGCAGTGTAGCTTAAAGCATCTGAGAAACTGGTTGACAGCCTTTGGGTTGAGCTGGTTTCCAAACCTCACCATTTTCATGTTTGAGCAGGGCAGTGCCATGGAATCTGGGGCAGTTACTTCTAGTTAAGAGCAGGTTTAAGGAAGAAGATCGTCAGCCCCCTTATCTTTCACTGATTCTGGGTGGGCACTCGGAGGACACTGGTTTTGTAGGAAGGTTGCAGTGGAAGAGGAAAGCCCAAAACCATAAGCACCAGACAGAAGAGAACTGAACATAGAGGACAGTATGGTATCCTGATCTGAGGCCAACAATTCACAGTTTATCACTGTTCAACAGTACCTTCTACCCCTTGATATCAAACCTCTGGAAGATGAATGGTCACAGACGTATTCCTCGCTGCAAGAGCTGTGCCTAGACCAGCTGCCTACCTCTGGATTATCCTGTAAAACCCATTTCTGCCTCCATCTCAACTATAGAGCAAAGCATAGGGATGCCTCTCTGTTTCCATAAAGCTCTTCAAGACCTGTGGGTGGAAATCTGCTCTGTCAGGTCCTCAGCAACCACATTAAATCCAGGACAGATCTAGACCCAGAAGGAGGAAAAGAAACACTTAATATGTCACTTGTGAAATATCAGGAAAGAGAGAAAGAGAGAAAGAAAGAAAGAGAGAAAGAAAGAAAGAAAGAGAGAAAGAAAAAAGAAAGAAAGAAAGAAAGAAAGAAAGAAAGAAAGAAAGAAAGAAAGAAAGAAAGAAAGAAAGAAAGAAAGAAAGAAAGAAAGAAAGAAAGAAAGAAAGAAAGAAAGAAAGAAAGAAAGAAAGAAAGAAAGAAAGAAAGAAAGAAAGAAAGAAAGAAAGAAAGAAAGAAAGAAAGAAAGAAAGAAAGAAAGAAAGAAAGAAAGAAAGAAAGAAAGAAAGAAAGAAAGAAAGAAAGAAAGAAAGAAAGAAAGAAAGAAAGAAAGAAAGAAAGAAAGAAAGAAAGAAAGAAAGAAAGAAAGAAAGAAAGAAAGAAAGAAAGAAAGAAAGAAAGAAAGAAAGAAAGAAAGAAAGAAAGAAAGAAAGAAAGAAAGAAAGAAAGAAAGAAAGAAAGAAAGAAAGAAAGAAAGAAAGAAAGAAAGAAAGAAAGAAAGAAAGAAAGAAAGAAAGAAAGAAAGAAAGAAAGAAAGAAAGAAAGAAAGAAAGAAAGAAAGAAAGAAAGAAAGAAAGAAAGAAAGAAAGAAAGAAAGAAAGAAAGAAAGAAAGAAGGAAAGAAGGAAAGAAAGAAGGAAAGAAAGAAAGAAAGAAAGAAAGAAAGAAAGAAAGAAAGAAAGAAAGAAAGAAAGAAAGAAAGAAACCGAAACCATCAGGTAATGAAATGTGAAAAAATTGCAGTAGCTGTTCAGAAGTAACTGCACCTGTCCTGGTTCAGCCCTGTGGTGGGTTTTGCCCAAAGTATGTCCCTCAGCCAGCAGTTGGGTTTGCTTTAGAGACAGGTGGAAGGAGGAATGAGGGTAGGGGGATTAACAAAAGCAATACAGCCTGATGTAGAGACCCAACACACTTCCATACATAAAGACTTTCAAAGTATATGCCTTTCAGCCTTCTTCCACTTGCAGCCCTTTGAATGATCTCTGTGTAGCCATGCTTCCAGATGGAGGTGTTTGACCCCTGCCCAGGTTGCCTGTCCTCTGAGATCTTTCAGAGACCCATGAATGCAGCCAGAGGATCTCTGAGGCCCATGGGGTATAGGTTAAAACCCACTGGGTTGGTGTTTCTCCAAGGATGACTCTGTTTCAGGCCAAAGATGTATTTGCTGTGGGTCACAAGTAGACGGAGTAAGAACACAGCGACGACCAGACTCTGCTACCAGCCTGCCCAAGACCCAGACTCATCAGAGACCAAAACTAAAGAGACCCAGGAGAGAATTGCTCACTTCCACCTATACCCTAATCTCTAGAAATTAGTGAAAATGATGGAGCTGGTGGTTCAACGAACATTTCCAAAAACCTTGGAGTAATTTTTCAAATCCTTGCCCATATCTATACTGAAGCCTTACCCTCTGGTTGTCAGAGCTTCCAGAAGCCAGGTTTTAGGGGTGGCAGGAACTCAAGATGAACGTACCCTATCCCATCCCAGAGGGGACAGGTTGGCAGCTTAAGCAGAGGCTGTTGGTTCAGTCCTTGCCCACGCTTGTACTGCCCTGTGCCATGTGGCTGTCATTTACATCTTAGTCTTTTAAAGTAGCATGTCAGTCCCCTCCATCCCAAGGTGTGGTGTGAGAAGGGACAGGTGACAGGCAACCACCTATGGATACGAAAGATATGCACTACTTTCCATTAGTTGTGATGGCTTTCCCCACCAAGAACGCATATCCTCTCTCCCTGTTCACCCTCTCCATTGACCCTCTTAAATACCTGGGGATTACCAGGTCTCTCTGAATTGATGCATTTCCCCTTCCCTCCCAGGCATTTCCCAGGGTGTCCCTGGGGTGCTGGGAATGAAGCAGTCTTACCTAACTCTACGTATGCCAGGCCAAGCAGAAGCCCAGTCAGGAGTGTCTTCATGCTGCGAGAAGATCTGTGCAGCCAGGACAGTAAAGGAGAGCTGCTCCCAGGGAGCTTTATATGTTTTCCCACCCTCCACCTCCTGGTGATCCTGTGGGTGGATTCCCTGGAGGTGATCAGGGGAGAGCTCAGCTCCAGTCTGTACTGGGATTTGTAGAGGAACGAGTTCCCCAAGGAGGTGACATCACCACAATGAGCAGACTCCTGCCATACGTCATCTCTTCTTCAGGTTTATGTCCTGGAGCTGGTCCCTTGGAAAAGGAAAAACACAGCTTGCACTGCAAGGGGTGGCCCCTCTCCAGTGCTTGGAATGGGGAATGTGACAAAGTATGTTTGTTTCTTCAAGTCTGGCTCCGTGAGCCAAGAGCTGGATTGTGTCATGCGTGTGGCACTGGGCAACAACAGCCAAGATACAAGCGGCAGCAGGCTGGTTATCCACGCACCTTGGCTCAGCCTCACCAAAGCTTGTGCCATGTTTTCATGCCTACCGCTTTTCAGGTTGGCAGGTGGGAAACTAGCTTGGCTGGATTTGCCCAAGTCATATCTATTTTCCCAAATCCAGTGCAAAAGCAAGCCTGGTTTACGACTTTCAAGGACTTAGTCATTAAATGAGCCCTGGTGCTGAGCTGCTGGGCATGGGAGTCACTGAAGGGCCAGTGAAGGTGAGCATGGGAGATGGTGTGTCTGAGTCTGGGATTTGGATATGTCATTTTGTTTTAAGTCCTGGCTCATGCTGGCAGAGCAGGGAGCTGTGCCTTCTTTTGTAAAGCTGTCAACTATTTACCACATTTTATTCTGAAGCTGAGGAATAAAGCCAATATGGAGAAATGGATCCATTTTCCCACTGTAGTACCTTCCTGATAGAAAATTTCACTTTACACATTTCAAGGCAACCCTTTCAAACATAATAATTTGTATTCTGTCTTACACAATATTTGTGCAAAGAGCTTAAAAAGCTTGCAGTCAGGGAGAAATGCTTTGCTCCTCCCTATTGACTGAGCCAATGGCATTTTCTACTACACAGAAAAAATTGATAGATTTTTTGTTGCTTTTGTTGAGATTCAGTGTGGAAAACCCCAGCATTATGCAATTTCCCATAAAACAGCTGAATAAGCCGAAGAAGAAAAGTTTGTGAATCACTGTGAAGCATTCTGAGACTTCAGAGATGGAGACAAGGTGAGTGCACAAGCTTATTTAATGACTGGGTTTTGCTTGTCACAGGCTCATTGCAGCGATGCACGTGGGCATTGCTACCATTCCGAGCAGCCTATCATTTTCCCAGTTTGAGAATGGGGCTTTTCTGGGAAAGTAGTTCTCCCCAAAGGGTTCTCAGTAACTTGAGAAGCATTGCTAATGAAAATTTCCATGGTCACAGATGACACAAAGCTGACCGACCTGGGGCAGCAGGATCAGTACTGTGCTGTGGGAAAGGGAGAGAAAGACGCTTGCTTAGCTGTGAGAGTGAAAGCCATCATTTATCTTTATTTTATCTTGCTGTGCTGTCAGAGACCAAGTACATAAAGAAAAACAGCACAAACATACCTCCATGAGTACATAGGAGAGACTCTTCTGTGGAAGCTACCAGACCTGGTTACATCCAGATCCTTTCCTGTAACTGGGCAGTTCAAGGCACATTTGAGCAATATCTTAATTAACAGCCATGAAACTGGAAAAGAGCCAGTGCTTTAAGCATTTAAGGTGGTTACGCCTCAATAGGTAAGCACAGCAGGGCTGGCATTCCGACATTCACGATGTTAAAAGACAAACTGTGTGTAGCCTGCAGTCCGCACAGGCATGTTGTAATGGTCTGCCCATGCTTGAGAGGCACTGCATCCTGAGAAAGCCTTGGAATAAATCACTGTGGTTGAAGGAATGGTGACATAAATAGGAAACAAAATGAGTCTGTCCAGCTTGAGGGAGGCTGTCCATCACTGTGGTGTGTGGACATGGTGTGCATCAACACAGCAGGATTTTTTGCCTCCGACCAGTGAAAAGCCACTTAACTCTGTCTAATGGCTTGAAAAGATTTGAGATCTGGCTGTAAGACAGTGTTGGGGAACCACCAGAGCTGGGGTTGTTAAAGCTCCTGCAGAGTGGCTGAGCGTGCAGGAGCGCCAGACTTCAGCGACTGAGAAGCTGGGAGCATGCCAGTAAAAATAAGGAGGAAAGGGAAGACCAACAGGTATTAGTTGATCTAAAGATAACAAGGAGCCTCCGGTGAGATAAAGCCCTGAAAACAGAAACAAAACCAAACACAAGTAAACACAGGTTGTGTGTTGGGGTGTAAGGAAGGCTGATAGCAGCGTGATTAGGGAAGTGCTAGCACCCTGGCTTGAAGCCCTGGTGGCTCCTCACCTGGAATTTTGTTGCCCCTGTCAAGAAAAAATGGGGACCTGATGGAAAAAAAAATGCAGATGGAATCTAATGGGCAGACTGGGAGAACAGAATCAACCCCAAAAGACAATGTTTGAAAACACTGGCCCCTTTTAGTTTGACAGAACAGGGGCTGACTGGAGATACGATTTTTCCTGAGAAATACATTGAAAGCATCAAAAACAAAGCTACAGAAATAAAAGCTCCTTAAGATAAAATGTCACACAGGACTAGAGCTGATTTTAGACTAGCATGAGCTATATCAGACTGGCAATCAGAGGTAGGGTCTTAAACACTAGGAAAAAAATTGGTCCCTTCTAAAAGCAGAGGCAGGGTAGAATTCCCACCTGCTTTGAGGTGGAGCTTGACAAATATGTGAAAGCAGTGATTTGATACAGCAGTTAGGACAGCCTTAGACAGCTCGTAGGACTCAGGAGGACCTAACTTCCCATCTGTCTTTGTCAGTGGTGGAATAAACCCTGAGCAAGGTTTTGAACCCTGACTGACAGGAGCCATAAGAGACTCCAGTTGAAATGTCATTTCAGGTCTGAAGATCTGAGAATATAAATGAGGCATGGTGTGTAGGGAGAAAGGCTTCTATGCCATAAACCTCTCTGAAATTTCAGTGGCATCAATCCAAAACCACTACCAGACGGTCCCTGTGAGACTGTTCTTATCAATAAGGTAATCTAGGTAGATGCAATGTCTCTCTGCTTATCATATATGCAAGGAAAGGCAGATGATGCAAATTCAATGTTGATAGACATGAAGGTGATGTGCTTTATAACTATCCAATCTAGTTTCCGTTATAGTTAAATCTTGTTTGAACGAAAAAGGAACGAGATTTTGTATAGATGTCCTGTGATAAGGAGCATGCAACAAGCTTTGATAAGCTGTTCCAGCAATTGGTTATCAGCCATGTGTAAAACAACCCATGTAAAATATTTCTGCCCTGTTTTATACAGCTTCTACAGCCAGCGGCTCTTGTTACACCCCTCTACTAAACTTAATGCTCGCTGTTGCAGTTTTCCTCTCCCTGATGGAGATGCATTTTGTCTAGGATATCCCTTTGATAGAATTTGGTGGGCTTTTTGGCTCCTTCTCTGGAAGGTCTGTCCTCCAGGGTGGGTGTCAGGAGAATGGGGCCAAACTCTTTCCAGTGGTGCCCAGTGACAGGACAAGGGGCAATGGGCACAAACTGAGGCAGAGGAAGTTCCGTCTGAACATGAGGAAGAACTTCTTCCCTCTGAGGGTGACGGAGCACTGGAACAGGCTGCCCAGGGAGGCTGTGGAGTCTCCTTCTCTGGAGATATTCACGACCTGCTTGGACAAGGTCCTGTGCAACCTGCTCTAGGTGACCCTGCTTCGTCAGGGGAGTTGGACTAGACGACCCACAGAGGCCCCTTCCAACCCCCACCATTCTGTGATTCTGTGGTTCTGTAATCCTTCCCACGGTGCTTTGCTGAACCACCTCTGTTTTACCACCTTCTCTCCTGCATTGCCCAAGCCAGAACTAAATGTTTTCCTGCAGCAACAGCCAGTTCAGTCCTAGATATTCGCAGAATGGATCCTTCTGTCATCAGGTCAGAATCAAATAACTGTGTTTGAAACTGTAGCCGTGGCATTGTAGCCATGGCATCAGTCTACCTGATGTCAGTGTCTTTGGAGGTGCTTCACAGGACAGAGTCTGCTATCAGGTTTCCACATATCATGGTGATGGCTGCAGTGTAGGAAAACAGAGACTACTGATCAGCATAGTGAACCAACTTGACTTCAGCTCCTGCAATTCAGAAAGGATAGATGTTTGCTGGGGATTATTATGATAGTGGTGTCTGTGGGCTCTATCCTCTTTGTCTGTGACTCAGTAGTGGGAAACCATGCTCTCCCTGACCATGGCTTCAGTGATGCTTGATGATGTGTTCAGCTAATCGAAGCTCCCACCTCTCACAGGTGTGCACTAATAACAAGACTGTAGACTTCTTTGGGTGGAGTTTCTCTCCACCCTCCTGATGAAACTCTGCTACTGGGCAGAAGAGAATGCAGGTTTCATGGGATGGAAAAGGGTGAAAGTACAAGCATGACTTCCTGAGCACCCTTCCCCTAGGACCTCTTTAGGTCTTTCAGGGGATGTTTGATACAAAAAACATGTGTCTTCACACAGGGAAGTATCAAAGAGAAATTCAGAGTCCCAGTGCTGACTCCGTTAATCTGAAAAGAGCTCTTACTCCTTTCCTCCCATGCCTATGCTTCATTTTGGTGGTTTGCAGATCCTATCCGGAGATGTGAGATGGCAAATTGAACCTCTCCAAGTAGAGAAGGAAATCGTATTCACATCTCCCAAATTCTGACTTAAACACACTAATCTCTAGACTGAAAAGCAGGTGTACTTCTGCAGATGGGGGGAAATCCTCCACACCCACAGTGTTTTTAGAAAATGAAGTGAGCTCTGTTCAGTGCTCTGAAACAAAAAAGGGGAATCCAGGGACATGGACTCACATCTGCAGGTTCCTCTTCTTCTAGCCGTGGGGTTGAGGATAATCCTTTCAAACATCACCTTGCCAGCTGTGTTTGGGCAGCCCTGGGAACATAGGTCCCCCAAACACTGGCAGAAGACATGCAAAATGTCC